GCAGATAGTAAGGTCGCAGTGACACAGAAAGCAGTTCAATGTCGGGGGTACAGAGTCGCTCTCTTACCAGGATCGATTTACACCACTGGTCCCTGACAGACGCCCCCGCCGTGAAGTTTCCCTGTGACTGTCAGATCGCGGTCCGCTCTGACCAGGGTGAAGCCGGCCGGCTCCACTTCTCTGTCCGGGACTCTGTCATCCAGCCAAGTCTCAGTAAATGCCAGCAAACAGGCCTCCCGATATTCGTGTTGGAAGCGCAGATTCGCTGACAACTCATCCGCTTTCCCCCTCAGTGACTGGGCATTAATCAGCAAGGTGGTGGGTAAGGGAAGTTTGTTCTTAATTTTTTTTAAGTCGTTGTCTGATTCCCCCGCGTTTTCCACGTTTGCATTTGGGTTTGTAATCCACTCGCAGACAATCAGGTATTAGATGGGCCATTGGGATATCCATCACGTTCGTATTTGAGTTGCATTGTAGTAAAAACTCCCTGCTGTATTGGATTCCGCTGCCAGCAGCGTTTTCATTATTTAGTCCGTTCGTAGCGGGTATGTACACGATCAACAAGATCAGTCCAACACCGTGACCCCACCACTGGAAATCCATGGTTGGCAGAATGTTTGTAAACTAAGTGCACAAATTAAAAACATAAAATAACGCCACTAAGTGTACAAATTAAAAACATAAGATTAAAAACATAAGATAACGTCACACAGAGACGCTGCTACCCGCTATTTTCTTAGTTACGTTCATGGTTACGTTACGTATGACGAAAGCGCGTAAGTGCAAGCCCTCAGACACCCATAGAGATTGTATTGAAAGCTCTGAAATTTGAAAAAAATAGATTTTACATGGGAGTCTATGACAGACTTCTGGGCGATTTTCAACCTGACTGAAATCGCCCCAAAAGGGGGGGTGGCCATTTGAAGCACGACTTTAGCCTGATTCGACATTTAGTGGCAGTGTGGCACTGTGGCAGATCAGACGTCTAGATTACAACACTGATAACTACTGTTGCCGTGATATAATTGATTAGAAAAAAAATCCCTTCCTTTTCCCGTTTGGCAGTGCATTGCCCATATCGCCCTATTGAACAGGCCGCCCCTGGTTGGCATCCAATATGTTGCATTACCGCCCCCAACTGGACTAAAATATCAATCCATTATACTTTGTGACACAAAATGGGAAAAGGGGAAATTATAATAATACAGAAAAACACCCTTACAACTAACCCTACACTCATTAAATACCCACTACCCCATTCCACTACTTTGACCCTATCTGCTCCTGGACCATGCCAACGGCCTGGGAGGACGGAACACCACCACTCAACACACCCTGTAACTCTTCTGAAGTCTAATCTTGTATGCCCAAATACTTCTCTGCAGCTGCCACCACAACATATTATTTCTTTGATTTACGTTCCATTTCTGCTGTACAGTTGATAACCATTGCTATGAATGCTAAGAAGCTATCTTTACCGAGGCATATATCACTCGTTGGCCTATCCCTCTGTGCTGACACAGATCTACTACTCACAGGGATCCTCTCAGGATCTCTCACCCTTGACCCATCCTCCTCTACTTTCTTCACTGCCTCAGCATACGACACCTTCTGCACTACTCTGACTCTAGCCACCTCAACCTGCCTCTCTCGTACCGGACACTTCCGATCCCCAGCAACATGGGCATCCCAACAGTTGACACACACAACTTTATCCACCGAAACTACACAAACCTCTATCCCATGCCCTCCTGCACACTTCCCACATCTTGGAATCTCCCTCCTACAAACTGCTGCAACATGACCATAAACGTTGCACCTGAATCAGCGCAGTGGATTCGCCACAAAAGCTCTAACAGGATAACTCATATATCCTAACATGACTTTATCGGGTAAAGACTCAAAACTCAAAAGAGCTGACAGTGACTCCTATGTTTCACCACGCTCAACACAGGGTCTGCACCAAACAGAGGGCATCACAAACACCAGGAATCTTCATCTTCAATTGCTCCACCTCCACACTTAACATTACCCCAGAAATCACTCCTTTCAATGGTGCCCTGTTCCTAAGAGCAAAGCAAGAAACAGATCTTGACCCAAGTTGCGTGACACGGAGCGCCCACTCCCTCTGGTCAGAAGAAACACAAACAAATATCACAAGTCCACTACAGGTTACCTTCACTGATTCAACTGCACCCAACTCCTTTCCCACCCACCCTAAAACCACAAATGAATCTGCCAAAAGGTATGGATCCACTTTCTCCAACAATGTAACTCCTACTGCACCAGATTCTTCTTTATCATGTCCATTGATGCCAGGCTCTGGTTCTGAGCTCTTCACCACACCTTCTACCTCACTTAACTCTCCCTCATTCATTTCCATTTCACCTCCAGAACTCGGTCTGACTCACTCTGTTTTCACTTGAATTATAACATTTGAAATGTCTCTATTACTTTGAAACGTCTGTGAGTGTAACGTTTACTGTTAATTTCTGATCATTGATTCCACTTTCGTTTATTATCTATTTAACCTGCTTTGGTAATGTAACATATGTTTCCCATGTCAATAAAGCCCATTTAATTGAATTGAGAGAGAGTGAGAGAGAGAGAGCTCCCTGTTAATGTATAGCGGACATGAGTCACTCATGGTTACTCATGGTTATGTGATGAGGTAGCCCCACTTGTGACTTTAAAATCAGTGTCGGCCCAGTAGGGAATCTCCTCTTGGTGGAACTTAATAATATATAACATGCCATTTAGCAGACGCTTTTATCCAAAGCGATTTACAGTCATGTGTGAAAACATTTTTACGTATGGGTGGTCCCGGGGATCGAACCCCCAAGATGTTGGTTTCTCCCGCAGCAGACACGGGTTCATATCCCGTCAGTTACATTAAGCCATGTGTTCTCTGAAAGGGGTCCTGTTTCCAACAGTGGGGTCAGTGGGATTAGATAGAGGCCTGTCTCTCTCCCTCTCTCTCTCTCTGACAGGAGGAGAGAAGTGAAATGGTGTGTCTCCTCTGGTCAACAATACTCACCTTGAGAGACTCCACAGCCTGTTGGAGCTCCTTCAGCTCCTTCTCTCTCTCCTGGAATCTCTGCTGGACCTTCTGCTGACTCATCCCCAGCTGCCTCTGTGGAGAATCACTCTTCAATGAGCTATCAAGCTTTATTTGTCCACTAGATCAATAGTATAGTAATGTGACATAGGGCACATAGAAGTTAGGGATTAAAATGTTGAGGAACTGTCTGTGTGAAATTATTTTATTATGTTGTTATGTGAATGATTATAGTTTTTATGGTAGGCGTACATGTATCAAGGGGTTGAGGCTGAACTTTGGACTCATAAAAGGGCATTCGGAATGATAATGTTGTTTGACTTTAGAAAATGGTGATACATTTGGAGCAAACCCAATGTACTGAAGGTTTGTGTTCATATTTGTTCTGCCGTGCATCGATATCATTTGAATGATCTCATATTCAAACAGCCTTAGTTCCTACTGTATCTTTATTTCTTTGTTTATCAGACAGTCACCAACAAGTAGTTCTGGTCTTACCTGTTTCTCAGTCCTCTCTACTGCAGCTGACACTGTATTATGGCCTTTATGTTCATCCACTGTACACAGATAACAGATACACTGCTGATCGGTACGACAGTAAACTTCCAGCAGTTTGTCATGATGAGAGCAGATCTTCTCCTGTAGTTGTGGGGTGGCTTTGACCAGCTTGTGGTTCTTGAAAGCAGGAAATTCATAGTGAGGTTGGAGGTGAGTCTCACAGTAAGAGGCCAGACACACCAGACAGGACATGAGGGCTTTCTGCTTTCTGGTCCCAGTGCAAACATCACACGCCACATCTCCAGGTCCAGCATAGCACAGAGCAGGAGGGGGAGCAGCCTGGAGTCCTGTCTTCTTCAGTTTCTCCACCACTTCAGCCAACATGTTATTTTTCCTCAGATTAGGCCTTGGAGTGAAGGTCTCTCTGCACTGAGGACAGCTATAGACCCCTTTCAGACGATCCTGATCCCAGCTTTCTTTAATACAGTCCATACAGTAGCTGTGTCCACAGGCAGTAGTCACCGGATCCTTCAGTGGATCCAGACAGATGGAGCAATGGAACAGGCCCTGATTCTCTGCCATTTTGGTGCTCTCTCCCGTAGGTTAATCAATGGCAGTGTCAAAGATTACTTTGTGTTTCATGAAACTCTACACCAGAGGACAGGAAGTGGCTTCCTACTTAACAGTGTACTCTGTATGTAGAGGGGGTGTGGTTTATTTGATAAGGAAATGTGACAGAGTGTTGGGTAGTAGCCAGAGATGGTTAGTATTTATGTTACATCTATATGCAATATGTATTTTAACTACTTCTGAGTATTTTGTCATTTTAATCACACTGGGCTGAACTACACTCCAATGTATTTTTATTTTCAAAATACAAAATACTCTTTTGTACCATTTTTTTAAATAGTGGTTCACATTTTGCATTAATTGAAAGTCGCTCTGGATAAGAGCGTCTGCTAAATGATTAAAATGTAAATGTACATGTAAAAATTAATCATTGCAATCACTTAAAAACTCAATTTAAAGATTTACTTTGGGATTTAGGCAGTGAAGCCCTTTATCTACTTCCCCAGAGTCAGATGAACTCATGGACACCATTTTAATGTCTCTGCATCCTGTATGAAGGAAGTTAGAGGTCGTTTTGGGAGCCAATGCCAACTAGCGTTAGAGCAATGACTGGAAGTCTATGGCATGCTAGCAGTTACTATAGACTTCATAGCGCTAATGTTAGTTAGAAACTTCCTTCAAACTGTAGAGACAAATAAATGGTTCCATTCATTCATTGATTTTTAGAACATTTTCAGGTCATTGTTTGTTTTCAGTGGAAAGTCCAAATACATGATTTTTCAGATGATGGGAGTAAAACAGGCAAATCTATAATGTTTATTTATGCTCCATAAAGTTGTCCTAGAATCTGTTGTTACCCTGACCTCTCCCACAGATTCCATCAGGTTACGACATTCAGACCATGACCTCTAACCTGCACCTGAACAGCTTCCTCCTGCCCATCGGTGCCATGAACATCATCAGCATCCTACCTCTGCTGATGCTGGCCAATCTCATGGAGTGTGTCACCTCCTGCTACCTGTCCATGGAGAAAACACACTTCTACCCCGCCAGAGTCATCAGTAAGCACACACACACACACAGATACACACACACAGATACACACACACACGCACCGCACAGATACACACATACACAGACTGACACACAGACACACACATGCACAAATACCATCCACATCAATGAGCCAGTCAATGTTAATGTCTCTCTCTCTCACTCTCTCTCTGTTTCTCTCCCTGTCCCCTCCCTCCTCTCCTCTCTCAGTGCTGGGTCATGCGTGTGCATCCCAGTCTGTCCTGGTAGCGGGCCTGTCTGAGGTCCACAGGAAGGGCTATCCTCTGACGGAGCAGGCCCTGTCAGGGAAGGTGCTCCAGGTGTCCTCCATGGCCTGCTTCCAGCTGGCTCCCCAGTACATCCTACTGGGGCTGGCTGAGGCCCTCGTCACCCCTGCCTGTGAGTGACAGAGAGCCAGCACGTATTTCTGACACACCTATTGCTGCTACACTGTTCATACACAGAGACAAACTGGGTTTGAGATTTCGAATGTCAATGGACACCATATGTAGTTAGGATGAAGTTAGAATGTGGAGTGTTGGAACCAACTGCCAACATGGAGGATAGTATTCTGAACTCTGGAAGCTAGGGTTAGGATGCCCCCTACTGGTGTATTAGAGACAGACAAGAGACGTTTGAACCAAATGAATGCTTCTTTCTCTTCCCAGCCTTCCTCTCTTCTCTGTTCCAGGCTCTGTGATCTCCTTCCACCTGACACCCAGTCATATCAGAGGCATCTCCCTGCACTTCCTCCCCCTGTCCTACGGAAGGGGTTGTTTCCTGGGAGCCCTCATCATCCAGCTGGTCTACCTACTCTCTGGAGGTAAAGGCTTCACTAACAGATGCATCATCGTAATCATAGAAACTGAAGAGGAACATACATTCATGTTGGAATGGTTGATGGGGTTCTGTCTGCATTATGGTGATTCAGTCCTATGGCCACTGATAGTACTGTTCTCCTGTCCAACTACAGGTAACTTCTACCCAAACACACTGCATGAAGGGAATCTGGAGCATTTCTTCTTCTTCTTAGCCATGTTGATGACCATAAACACTCTGGTGTTCTGGTGGATATCTTCCAGGTACAGTATGAGAACCTCTCATGTATCAATATAGTCCCTGTAGATGAGACAAAGGAGATTTTCAGTGATACAAATTTGAGAATTTCCTTGACCCCTTGAGGTGACCTGAACAAAGTATTAATATAGTCTGTGCAGATGAGACAGGTGACAGTATTGAGACAGGTGACAGTATTGAGACAAGTGACAGTATTGAGACAGGTGACAGTATTGAGACAGGTGACAGTATGAGACAGCTGACAGTATTGAGACAGGTGACAGTTTTGAGACAGGTGACAGTATTGAGACAGTTGACAGTACTGAGACAGGTGACAGTACTGAGACAGGTGACAGTACTGAGACAGGTGACAGTTTTGAGACAGGTGACAGTATTGAGACAGGTGACAGTATTGAGAGAGGTGACAGTATTGAGACAGATCCACCCTAGCAGTCTCTCCTCACCTGTGTCCCAGGTACCTAGACCTGAGTGTGGTGCAGAGTAGAGGAGTAGGAAGCAGCCTTCTGGCAGAGAAACTCCTGCAGTACAAGACCTGCCTGTGATTCTACGACACCATGGAACGCTCTTCCACAACAGTCTCCATAGAAACAGTGTTGTGACCTCTACACTACCTTAGTCCCCTGTAGTGCTGGACACATGCATGTGGACACCTAATCATCGAACATCTCATTCCAAAATCATGGGCATTAATATGGAGTTTGTCCCCCCTTTGCTGCTATAACAGCCTCCACTCTTCTAGGAAGGCTTTCCACTAGATGTTGGAACATTGCTGCGGGGACTTGCTTCCATTCAGCCACAAGAGCATTAGTGAGGTCGGGCACTGATGTTGGGCGATTAGGCCTGGCTCGCAGTTGGCGTTCTTATTCATCACAAAGGTGTTCGATGGGGTTGAGGTCAGGGCTCTGTGCAGGCCAGTCAAGTTCTTCCACACCGATCTCGGCAAACCATTTCTCTATGGACATCGCTTTGTGCATGGGGGCATTGTCATGTTGAAACAAATAAGGCCTTCCCCAAACTGTTGCCACAAAGTTGGAAGCACAGAATCATCTAGAATGTCATTGTATGCTGTAGCGTTAAGATTTCCCTTCACTGGAACTAAGGAGTCTAGCCCAAACCATGAAAAACAGCCCCAGACCATTATTCCTCCTCCACAAAACGTAATAGTTAGCACTATGCATTGGGGCAAGTAGGTTTTCCTTGCATCCGCCAAATCCAGATTCGTCAGTCGGCCTGCCAGATGGTGAAGTGTGATTCATCACACGTTTCCACTGCTCCAGAGACCAATAGCGGCGAGCTTTACACTACCAGCCGAAGCTTGGCATTGCGCATGGTGATCTTAGGCTTGTGTGCGGCTGCTCGTCCACGGATCCCATTTCATGAAGCTCCTGACGAACAGTTCTTGTGCTGACACTGCTTCCAGAGGGAGTTTTGGAACTCAGTAGTGAGGTTTACAACCCCCCAGACCCGGTCCCCCCCCCCCAAAAACCCCCCCAGGAAGGTTTTGGGGGGCTTTTTTAAAAGTGGCTGTCACCTTCCAGTTCCCCTAAACGCCGATTTTTGGATGACTGTATTAGATCCAATTTTTTCGCTGAGGTTTTTACTATGAACAAAAAAACCCAAAAAGGGAAAAAAAAAACATGTAGTTTTTTGAGAGGTGTTTGAAACACTTAAAAGGGGAAAACTCTTCTTTGGTTTTCAGCAAGGAGACTTTTCGAATTCGGTCACTATAAAAAATTCACTTCAATCACATTAAACAAGGCTTTTAGTTCCGGGAGGAAATGGATTATCCTCGTGTTAAAACTGCTCCACTCAGTGCTTCTTTTCCCACTCAGCTATCTTCTGCTCCATTTGCCCAGGACCCCCTTTAAAAAACCCTCTCACTGCAGCTTCTCCGGGCCCTCTAATCAACCTTTTCACCTCAGTAGTATTCTCTCAATGGACCCGTCATGTCACCTCGGGCCCCCGGGACTTTGTATTTGGGAGCCGGGGTTGTTCGTTTCTTTTGGTTCTTTTTGGGTTTGGGGTTTGGTCTATGTGGTTGTTTTTCCTTGTTGGGGTATTGAGTGCCCCCCCAATAAAGGTAACGTGTCGCGGGCTCGTTAGCTCTGATTGGGAGCCATTTTTAAAACTGTGTTTTTTTACCTTGTTTTGTGGTTTTTTTGTCCATTTCTGGCATGTTAAGAGGACTTCACGTACCCGTTCTTTATTTGTTTTTTGTTCCAGACTTTTTTAAAAAATCTGTTCCTCAACGCGCTGCGCTTTGGTCTAACTCTTCGTCAAAACGCGTGACAAAAACCCCCCACCAAAAGGGCCCAAACCGTGCCCCCAGAAACACCCAGGGTAACCTGGTGTTTTCCCTCCTCGCGGGGGGGCATATTACGAAGGAGGAGGCCGCCGGTCCGGGGGGCGATAAGGGGAGACCCAGGATGGGAGGAGCAACGGCGTCAGCGGGGGCCATCTGGGATAAAGAGGGGCAACCCCAAAAAATTTTTGGGGGGGGGGCAAGGGTTTGGGCGGCTGGCAGCAGGAGGCTGCCACGGGAAATTTTGGGAGAGGAGCCCCGGGTTTTGGGGGCCAGAAAGGCAGGTTGGCAGGCCGGGATGGAGAGCGGGAAACCCCTTCCCCCACCGGCATGGGGACAAAGGGCGGGGGAGTTCCCCGGGATGCGAGCACGTACGGGGCCACGGTGGTCCGGGACATCCGTACTTTCCCTTAAAAGCACCCCCCCCACTGTCGTGCGAAAGGGGGGGATCACCAAAGGAGTGGGGCCCTCAAAAGCTCTGGCTCCATGCCTCTCCGCGTCCCCCGGGTACCCTCCATTCACGTGCTGTCTGGGGCGGTACGGGGACACACCCCGTACTCCGTGGGGGATGCCTCCACAGGTGGGTTTAAGGGAGGCATTCACCGGGACGGGGTTTTTCCCGCTCTTATTCCCGGTCTCCTATCCGTCTCCACAGTCCGGGGGGGCCTGTCCCTTCCCCAACTAAGTTAATGGTGCGCGCCCAGCCCCCCCCGCCCATCCCCCGCCCACGCACCAAACCTACGGGGGGCGTCGCCACCCACCCCCTGTTCCTGCTCCACGCACAAAGCCTACGGGGGCGTTCCACCCGCCCGGCCTGTCCCTGCTCTACCAAAAGCCTACGGTGTGCGTCGCCGCCCCGCCCGGCCCGTTTCCTCCCCCACCACAAGGCCCCGGTGGCTCGCCACCCAGCCCGGCCCCTTTTTTCTCCACCACAGACCTACGTTGCTCCCAGCCCCGCCCGCCCGTTCCTGCTCCCACGCACAAACCTACGGGTGCGTCGCCACCCACCCCCCCTTTCCTGCCCACCACAAAGCCTACGGTGTCGTCGCCAGCCCAGCCCGGCCTGTTCCGCCCCCGCACAAAGCCCCACGTTCGTCGCCAGCCTGACCCGCCCTTTTCCCGCCCTCCACCAAACCCCGGGGGGCGGTCGCCACCCGGTCCACCCTTCCTGCTCCCCGCACCAAGCCAAGGGGGCGAGTCGTCACCTGGTCCAGCCGTTCCTGCAACCTTTTGGGACCAACCCAAAGGGGGCGAGTCTCAGCCCCGGGCCAGCCCGTTCCCTACTGCACCAACCAAGGTGCGATCTCGGGCCCGGTCCCCCCTTCCCCCCTACTCGCACCAACCAAGGGTGCGAGTCGTCACCTGGTTCACTCGTCCCTCTTCCGCACCCGCCAAGGGTGCAGCCGTCCCGATCCACCCATTCCTGCACTCGCACCCAAGCCGGATGCGGTCGTCCCTGGGAGGCCCGTTCCCCCTTTCCCCCTCAACCCAGGGGGCGTATCGTCGGCCAGGTCCGTCCTTCCTGCCTCCGGCCCAACCAGGGGGGCGCGTCGTCAGTCCAGAACCTACCACTGGGTCGATCGGACCGGGGGCCACGGGGGGTTGGAAAAATGGTGTCAAGCCCGGAGCCGGGCCCCCCTCCGAGGGGGTAATGGGGTTCCACATCTTTTGTATATATAAATTTATGTACTTGTATTCATTTAAATTTACAGTCAGTTTTAGAAAAAGTTTTTGATCAGCGGTATTCAACCCGTCGTTTTTTTTTGGTCAGTTAATCAGCGGTATTCAACAGTCAGTTTTAAACAGTCAGTTAGATCAGTGGTTCAACGTCTTTTAGACAGTCATTTTGATCAGCGTATTCAACAGTCGGTTTTTTGACACTTTAGATCAGCGGTATTCAACAGTCTTTTAGACGGGCCCTTTTAGATCACGGTATTCAAAAGCAGTTTTTTAAAAAAATCATTTTTGATCGTGGTTTCAACTCCGTTTTTTGACGTCAGTTTGATCACGGGGTTCTCAAAAAAATACATTTTCTCAAAAATGATCTTTCCAAAAAAAACTTTGTTTTTTTTTTTTTTTTCCCCCCCCTAACCCCCCCCAATTTAATCCCCGGT